CTTTTAGCAGCTCCTTTTATTCCACAGCTGACCTGCTAAAAATGACAGATTTTCTTTTCTGGATCTCTGACAGATGGACTTAATCTCTGAAGTTCTTCTATTTAGTTTCCCTGTCATTTTTCATGAATGGACACTTCCTGATATCTGAGGCAGGAAACATAGCCTTATATGGTGTTTTTGGGGTGGTAATTATGCTAATCTCCTCTCGCGTGCACGAGCAGCTGGATACGAACAGGTGGAATTTACGCAGCTCATTTACACACTTTACCTGAAGATAGAAGAGTTTGTTGAATCTGACGTGGCATGTTCGTACGAACCCTTCGAACGAACAAAAGTAAGAGAAATTTAGGATAAGAATACGAACATGTTCTTGCATGAAGCCCATTGATCAGTTTCTGGATTTTTGTCAAACCCATTCAACAGTTCATGAGATATTTTGCTGAGAAAAGAGCTGACGCCAACAGTTACTGCCAGATGTTTAGCAGTTGGATTATGTGATGAAAACGACTTTTTTGTCAAACTGGACTGATTCTAAAGGTAAGGAATTGTTGATACAGTATATGTTTCTAGTGGTTTCATTGCAACCTGTTCATGGGATATTTTGCTAACAGACAAACATACACACACACACACAGACACAAGCAACAACTGAATTGTGTAACTTTGATGGTTTCTTTGGTACCTGGATTCCTATGGAGAGACATTTGCCCTTCCTGAGTGCTTCTTTCTTGTAATCGTCCCAGTGGTCTTCAACAACAACCTGCCCCCTGCTGAGGACCGCTGGGTTGGGTGAGCTAACTGTCATGGTGCTGTTACTGACATGCTGACTGGCTGGTCCATGGACCTTCACAGAAAAAAAGATGACACCACAAGTAAGGTAAAGTGAGACGGGACACTTCAGTGGAACATCAAACACTTTGTAAAGTCATAAATATGTTTGAGTTCAAACATTTAAATAACACAACACAAATTTTCAAATTGACATTAGCGGTACTTTTAGCGATCAACAGTCAAACTTAAAAAAAAAAAGATCAACCTGAGCGTTAGCAGCTTCTATGGCAGCTGTGAGGGCCTTCATGCTGTCGATGCTTTCTGTTGAGTTACTTAACCCTGACTGGATCGTCATGTCACCTCTGGGTCCTTCCTCCTCCATGTAAGCATCCTGAGTGGTTGGACAGAAATGCATTATAAGAAAAACATCACTTTGACAATACCAGTCAGTATCATTTAAGACATTTACAAGTTGAAGAAACTATGAAAACTTCCTGTAATTCGTAGACCTAGTATCGACCGCTTTGTTCACTATGAAAAAGTGAAGCTGGAGCGATTGTAGTTTTCATTTTTACACAAAGACAAACAGCTCTTTACTATTGGAGGACCAAAATCAACATTAAAATTAAAAGCAAAATATATAAATGGACCAGTAAATAAACAAACACAGTTAAAATGCACCAATTAAATTACCTAATATTTTATAATTACTTCATATTTATTTTATCAGCTTAGTTCTAACAAATGATATAGTTTAGCTCCTAATTTACATTTTACTGTTTTTAAAAATGTGTTGTTTTTTTTTTCCTTTTACTTGAATGCGTTTGTGTCTCTTCAATGTTTAATTGGGTCAGCTCCTCTCCTATTGGTCAGCAGGCAGGAAGTAGCAGGATCCATGTGCAGATCTACTGTGCATGCTTACGCTGCCTCAGTTTAGTTTAAAGTTTATTTAAAAACAAAGACAAGAAGAAAATGTTTGTTTTAAACCTGTGGTTGGTGTTCGCCTGCAGTGTGAATGTAGCTTTAGACTAAACTGAGGAACACTTCAGTCTGCTCGACATGTGATAACGCCTGCTGCTCTGAAGTCTCTGACAGGTTAATTTCACAATAATCTCTTTGCTGATGCATGAATAGCTCTCATGAGGGACTGGAAAAGGAATTCCAGTGATTGATGTGAAGGCCTTGAGTTCAGTCAAGAACTAATAAGCCCACCGATAGAAATAATCTTCATCCACAGCTCCATCATCACGCTGACAAATCAACTGGCTGAAAGAAACATTTCACTCACAAAGCCTGAAAAACAATCTGTTTTTATTTTCCAACACAGCAGTGTGGGTGAAGAATACTGATCACTTGCTTCATGTTTTTATGACAGCTCACTCCTGCTTTAGATGCATTTAATTCACACGTAAACATTTTTAAACATTATTATTATAAAAACACAGAAGCTGAGGGGAGCAGCCCTTCAGTAAGTAAATGGAATTCCACATCTTAAGTGACAGAACTGAACAGGTTGAAGTAAACAACAGTGTGAGACTGTCGGTACTGGAGCTCTACGAGACTGTACACTACTCAAACAACACACCTAAATATGGATCTACCTTTGATTCTGAAGCTGAAGACGGTTCTGTTCCATCCAGGAAGTTTTCTCAATTCAGAAATTCTGGAGTTTTGTGGAGGTTTAATCTTTATTGAGCTACCTGAGCCTCATTAGATTCACCTGTAGGTTCACCTGAAAATACTCACCACATCTGAATAAACCCTGAAGCCATTCTTTTCTGCTTTCAGTTTTATTTTTATAGATCAACGCATAATGTTCAATTATATTGTCTATATTGTTGTTCATGCCTTCTATATATATATATATATATAT